GATTTTCCCAATGATTCAGCTCTTTCGCCAACTATACAACATCACATACTGAATTCTAGGGCATGACAGTTCTTTGAGGTCAATATATTTGATCCATTTGACCCTCAATCTGCTTTTGCTAACCCGTCGTGTAACTTTGTGAAATAAGTCTGTTTTATGAATCTATCTTCAGTGATTATGTATCAAAATTATAGCATTTGTGATCTTTCGATTTGGAGAAGAAACAACTCACAAGCTGTAGGGTTCGAAGAAGATGACGCTTCGATCAAGACATGGAAAAATTGCATCTGGCAGGATAGGATTCAGAAGGGCCGAGAATACGACTGAAGCGGCATCCTATGGGTAATAACAAAACATGAGCAGTATAGAGCATCTGCGCTACCATAGTTATAAAAAAGTGAATTAGGATAAAACTGTTAATAATGCGATATATGATATTAATCAACAATTGCTTGATATTACATTGACCATAACTTATGAAGGTTGTAAAATTAATACGAATTTGATCTTAAAAACATGTTTTTGATTGACTGGCATTGCTGATTCGATTTAAGATGACCAGAGATTATTTTCGGCCTTTATTTTGCCTCCAGTTGCCTTTCTGAAGGGGCCTTAGCTGGTCTGATTGAATAACATGATGTCACGTGCTTGGCTCAAAATCAAGAACAACAAACGGAGTAAAACAACCGGAAACTCGCAGGGCCACTTAGCAGGCGGCCAAAGGTCCTCCTAACGACAAAGGGGTTTTTCTCATGAACCTAATTCGCCACTGCTAATTAATGAAGAAGGCACAAAAACAGATGCGAAGCTTCTGATCTCGCATCAGCTCTGTCAGCGGAAAAAGGAGCTCACAATTAGTGCAGCGGATTTCATGGTTCGTGGCAATTAATAACTAATTATCATATGATCGAATGCTCGCAAATATGATCGAATATGACTCCTGTTATCACTCAGAGTCTCGGTCATTTAGGGCAGCTTTTTCTGGGCAGCGGTTAGTTTGCGAATCGTACATCATACTGGTTGACTTCGAGGCTGTCCTCGGGCAACCTCACAATCGTTCGAAATACAGATAGCCCCAGAGTTACGATAATTCGACTCAAGAATTTTCGATCTTACGACACCGATTACGATACACAAAATTCTAAAAATATTTCTGATTTCACAAGAAGACGAACAGCTTAGCACCAGCGTATGTTCAGCATACCTACGCTTGGGAGGCTGCCTCAGTCTCCAGCGATCTAACCCTTAGTGAGAGAGCGATTCAAAAAATATTTACCCTTTGTGTTATTTTGAGCTTAAAAATTGTGCTCTTTTCTATAAGAATGGCCCCCAAACATGCTAATGTTTCTCGTGATGGTAGTGAGAAGAAGAAGAGGAAAACTATTACCCTTGAGGCATAGACCAGCGGGAAGGAGGGAAACAAGTCATGGCTATAGCACGTGATTTTCAGTTATCCCAGTCAACGGAATCAACGATTCTCAAAGACGAAAAGGGGTCATGAAAGCTATCAAAGGTATTGCATTCCACCGTAATATTGAAGAAGAGATCTGCATTTACAATGTATTAAATCGTACTAAAATCTACTGCTGCGAGGCACATTGCTATTGTATGAACTGTACTGTAATACAATTTCAAAGGTTTGTTAATTAC